CATCGCGCTGCAGATCCACTTCACGCTCATCCAGGCCTTCTGCTGCGCCAACGACATCCACATCCTGCGCGCCTCCGGCCTGGAGCGCCTGGCGGCCGTGCTGGGCGAGGGGCCCCCGGGCGGCGGCGTGGAGCCGCGGGACCTGCACTGCCTGCTGGTGACGGTGAGCCGGGCGGCGGGGGCGCCTGCGGGGGGGGGGGCACCGGGCGGGCGCGGAGGCCGGCCTGGAACTCACGGGCGCCGCTGTCTCCCTCCCCGCAGAGCCCGCACACGGACGCCTGGGGCAGCCAGGGCTTGGCGGAGGTGGCCAGATTCTGCCAGGAGAGCCGGTGCAACGACCAGTGGGTGCCCTACGTGGCTCTGCAGGCGCGCTGAGGCCCCTGCCCGGGGTCTGGTGCGGAGCGTCATGTGTGCAGCAGTTGCGTCCGAAGGGAAGAATGTCGGTTCTGTAAAAATCACAATAGCGCCTGACTACCGGCGGGCGGGCGACTGAGCGGTGGGTGAGTCACGCGAGAGAGAGAAAGAGAGAGCGGAGCAGCGCCTGCAGAAGTTCTGGCTTGGCCCAGAGGAGGAGGAGGGCTGCGCTACTGCTCCATCAGCTGACTGCTTCGAAGGAGGAGGCGGCAGGATGGCGGCTGTGGGACCGTGTGGGCGCCAGGCTCCCCGAGGGCGGAGACGCTGCTCTGCCAGAGTGCCAAGGGGGCTGCCTGCCCAGGAGAGACGCTGCCGCGATCAGCTGGAAAGCCGAGCTGCAGGGAGGAGGTTAGGCCTGGGGGGGGGAGTGGAGGGGGCCAGGTGTGCTCCTCTCCCAGGACTCCTGCTCCAGGAGGAGGAGGAGGAGCAGCAGCAGCGGAGGAGGCAGCCCAAAGTCACCTCCGGCTTGGGAGCTTGTGGGAAGAGGACGAAGCTCTCCAACCTTCAGCTGTGGAGGATTTTTCTACTTTTAAAAAAACTTCCTGGTACTGACTTTTATTTATCTTGGAAGAAGATTTGCATGTTTGTTTTCGACTTTTCTCCGAAGACGAAATTCTGAAGTTGCAGGAGCCAAATGCAAATTTATTCATGGATTAAAAGAATAATAAACACATCTTATGATCTGAAAGTAACACTTCAGCAAATCTTGAGTCTTTCTCGGGGGCCGCTTTCCTCTTCAACGGCCTC